TTGAGGTCGGCGAAGAACCTGATAGCAGCTGTTGTTGCGACGCATCTTCTAGTGACCAAACCCTGCAGAGCTCCCAAGATGAGGGATCCAGAAGCCGGTGCAAAACGTCCCTTTGGGGTAATCTCCCTCTTTTCGCTTCTGAGAAGCCCTTGCCTCGCCAGCGGTGCGCAAGCTGCCTACCAATCAGGGGATCTTCACGAGCGTGGTTCGGCAAAAGTAATTCACTAAGACGAGGTTTCGGGTTCCCCTGTTGCTACTCTGGTGAAAACACCGGGCCCCCTGAGCTCGACCTATTCGAATCCACAGCAATGCAGCAAGTACGGGCCACTGCTTGCCGAATGCCGCTGCTACCTTCTGAAAGATATCTTCGGTATCTGCGGCTGACGGGACGTGGCAGAGAGCTTGCTGCGCTCGCAATCTGGTTATCAGGGAGGCCTGATCTAGTTTCCAGCTACTTTGAGCGCATGGCTCCCAAACAACAGCAAGCCTCTGCTGCTGTAAGGGTCAATAGTTCCACCCCAGATAAGGGAACACCACGTTCCCCACCTTCAGCCGAAAGCCCTGGGGGGGAGGGTGGCAGTCCGCCTTCATCTCCAGGCGGCACTCAACCGGAGCAGGAGAGCACTCCCTACGCTGACGAAGCATCCCGAAGCCCTATTCGTGAGGGCGAAGCTGCACGTGAAGAGCACAAAGGCAAGGATGGGGAAGAATGTCAGGGCTCGAGCAAGGGCGCTGTTCTATGTCCAAGCTCCCCAGTGACCTTACCATTGTCTTCTTCCCCTAGGAACATGGGTTTCCTTGGAAACAGCCTCCAAGGCAAAGATACGGACGACCGCGCCGAATTGCCCACCGCTGGGGAAGATGGACTTCACAGCGAGGGAAACCACCGAAATGATAGCTCCGGAACAATCCACGCACAGTCATCCCCCAGGAAATCACCTGATCTGCCTTCTTCTCCGAAGATCCGAGCGAAGTTGCGAGCTCGAGCAGCAGAACCCCCGTCTGACAAAGGGAACGGTGGTTTATTGGAAGGTTCTCCAC